TTTTGAGAAAGGGTAATACATCCTTGCGCTTTTGGTCCCTGTAATTTGGCATCCCCGTTATCTGCGAAAGTTGAGATTTGGTTTACTTTCCCCTGTGATCGCGCCATTGCATCAACACTTACACACTTCTTCGTAGAGATTTTGATTTTTGCTCCATTCATTTGTTTCCTTGACAAAATGCAGGCTTGTGCTATATACAACAACTGGTGGCCCATGCTATCAGGTTCGAGACTTGCCTCTATTTTAGTTCTGATTTTTGGTAAACAGATGATTGCATTATGGTTCATAACTCGACAAATATTTGTTTTCTCAGCTCTTATGTATGTGCTGGTGCCTATGCCTTGTCTGTTTTTTGGCGGTGGGTCCACTCAGTTCCTAATTAGTCGGGATGGTGGCGGGTGCGTATATATATTTCTTATTTTCCATATGTCAATTCTTTATTTTTCAAAGACACCTCAATCGTTTTATTTAAANTTAAATTGCAGGTGGATGGATGCAGCTAAGTTTTTAACAGGGGCATCGGCAGTTGGAAGTGTGGCCATACCCATAATTCTAAGGCATGCTGGCTTGATCGGGACAGGAGCAATGTTCATCGAGTTCACGTCTTTCTTCATATTCGTGTGCACCGTACTTTGCTTTCATCGTGCAAGTCTCGAAGACGAGTGGTGATTGCTCATGCGCTTTACCTTAAATTCTCCCGTGAGTAGAATATGTTTGAACAGAAACTGACATTAGTAATTCAAATGCAAACATATGTTGCAAGAAGAAATATCGCAAAGGTTTGAAGAGAAAAGGACATGATAATTGATTCCCACCACCAGTGTACAGAACGAGTTTTGTACTCTATAAATCTTAGTGAAGCGAGCTCCATATAAAATTGTAGGAGTCAATAAATTTCAGTTAAATGAATCTAGAGAAATGAAATTTCTTACAGAAGGATACTCATCAGAATCACCCGCACATTCCTTATTATATGTATTTCGTCTGTGCCCAGATTCGTTTAGCATATGAACCTGAAAGTATTACATCAACATTAGAGCAAATTGGGAAACTTTATTATTGATTTATCCACAAAATTAAAAAGAAAAAATGTTGTCATTCAAAGTAGTCTAACCTTAAGTTTCATTTTTCCCGGAGTATATCATGATCCGTTGACTTAGTTCTGTCAACAATATGTAACTAAAATCAGATTCTTGCTAACAAAAGTCAATAATGGAAATAGATGTTCTTTATCTTTCTCCCATTCACCCACATTTCTTGCCAAAAATTGTTCTTTCGATTTTTTCGCTGCCGCCTATTCTTGTGAGCTCGGAAATATATTGAGGTCGGTGACTGCTAACTCTTACTTTTATCAACCACAACTACGAAACTTGATTCTACATACCAGCAATAAGGTATAATTATATATAAACACCTTATTTGAATCGAGTATGATTTGAATACGAAAAGTAAGAAAACTGAAAAGGGGTCCAGAAATAATATATAAAAACTATAAATTGAATACATTATTGGATTACACGAATCACATAACAAAAACACCTAATTCTGCTCTAAGTGAAACCCAACATACAAATTACAAGAATTACATACAAATCCCTTGTATTCTACAAACGTGTCACACACGGACACAATTCCACATGTTACGTACATTAAAACAAATTGAGATATTCTTTTTTCAACCAACAGTATATGACGTGCACATTACCATTGGCTCGCTACTTGTTTTAGGGGTAGACACTGATTTTGTACAAACGTGAAAAGCTCGTACGAGAGCGAGCTCGCGAAGAAGAAGCAGAAGCGCTCGATTTTCTCGTACATTCACCTGAGGAGACGGTTTTGTGTGGCTTTAGGATGACTTAATGGGGGTTAATTGAGTACTTTTTCTCATCTAAGCTTTGTCAAACTCTCTCTCTCTCTCTCTATATATATATATACTGTCTGTTCTTTAAGTGCTTTCAACGATATGTACCATCATGATCGGCTAGGAGGCTAAGACCAAAAATCAAGACAAGTACAGAAATAATACAAGAACAAAAGTAATTATTACAACTCATCTCATGATTTAATCAATCAACGAAAGAATAAAAATGAAAAGCAATACATGATAAGCATGTATGATATGATCTAGACACTACATCCATCGACCGCATCCTGCTGCTGATTCTTCTCTCTCTTGTAGACAACAAAACGCGTAAGTGCTTCCAACAAAAGGGCAAGGGCTCCAAGGGCTACGTACATGAAAATGTAGGCTTGCTGCCACTTCTTCTGAGGGTCCAAGATTTCGAGACCCTTGTAAATGTTGACGATGCTGAGGACAATGACGGTGTAGCCTATTAATTTGTGGTAGACATTCCAGTAGATTCTGTACTTGTGGTCGGGCTTGGGCCTGAAGAGGATGGCAGAAGCCTGGAGAGTGGCTAACACAAATAGGGCGATGCCCATATACCTGTGGGCCGTGTGCTGGACTCCAGGTGAGCGGGTGCCGAGTTTGAGGCCCGTGGCCCATCCAGCCACACCCACTATGTAGGCCGAGGCTTGGCAGGTCACGTGCACGTAGAACCACGCTGGGTTAGCCACGTTGAACACTTTTAGATACCTTGCAGCCATAGCACCCACGGGCATCATTATTCCCCAGCTCACAACATTCAGCCAACCGTGAATCTGGAGGAAGTATATATAAACAAACAAGTTAATTAATTAATTATAATATATTTTCATGTATAATTTCTGTTAAATTGTGGTGTTCATTATAGAACCATCCACAACATTTAAGAATCTAGAAATTAGTAGAACGCAATAATTCTTTAGAAAATTATTTCTTAGCAATTAAGAATGTTGAAAAGTCAAATTCTCAAATCTCACCATACCCATCTATTCTCATTTAAATAATTAATTATCCAAGTTATAAATAGTTAAATACCAACAATTTCTTACAATTTTAGATGAAGGCCGCCTTGAAGAAGTGCGTGTCTGTACTACACTTGTCCCGGTGGAAAAGTCTATAGTGGCCGTGGCACCAAGGTTTCCCGGGGAACTGCCATGCTGGCGGAGCTGGCCGGAAGAGGTCAAAGGGCCGAACTGCCACACGTGTGGAAAGCTGGTCCTCCCCTGTGGAAGCTCGATTGTGGCGCGTATAATCATCTCTTTATTCCAGAACTCGGCTTTAAGTGACGGGACCGCGAAGCTGAGGTTGCCAGGCTGGAGGGCCGTGCGGTAGGAGGTGATGGCGGTGGTGTAGGCGCGAGGGGCGCTGGAGGAAGGGTCCACGTAGGCGATGAGGCACTGGGCCCCGATCATGCCCGTGCCAGTTGGGTTGAGGGCCCACGCGAGCCATTCGGAGGGCTGGGCGCCCGTGCGGCGGAAGGCGAGGTCGACGGTGTGGGTGGACGGGTGGTATGTCCAGTGGAGGAAGGAGTCGAGCGCGGGGAGGCTGGTGCATGCTGCGTACCTCTCGTTGGTGTTGGCGAACGTGTAGTCAGAGCAGAGCTTGGTTGTCGTGTCAGCGTGTGATAGGGAGACGAGCATGCCCAACATTAATGCCACCACCAATATTACGCTCTTACTCATCATGCCCATGGATCGATCAATCGATGAATTCAAATAATTTGTCTAATTCTTGGAAGTATGTGTTGGTTGCGTTACCTATTTATACAATTTTTTCTCTGCTAATTAATCGTATATGGAATAGGAAATGTTCCTAGGTGGAATAGGAAAAGGAAGATTCTGTGCCGCCTATGGTTTTCTTTATCTAATATAATATAATATAATAAATTGTGATGTCAAATTTAAATTTAATTGAGTATTAGCTGACCATATTCAACTTTTGNTAAAATTACTTATGACAATTTTACTTTCTTGCTCAATAAGTAATAAGTTAAAAATTATTTAGGGTGCGATCGAGAGGAACTTTAGTATGCCTTTTGTGATAATTATATACCAAATTCTTATTCCCATTATTTTTCAAATTAAATAAAAATTAAATTTGAGTTCGATCAACGAAAATCTTAAAAACCATTTCAATTAGTTAGAAGTTAGCATGTAATAATTATCTCATAATAAAAAATATCGAATTATTCTATTCTCAATGTATATTCAAATATCCGTTATAATAAAAATTGCGGGGACAAATTTTAAATATCTTGATAAGTATATTTGTAGAAATAATTTATCATTTTCATTTCCAAAATAGTGACATACTAACTGAAATTTTGCACTCATACCATGATCAGTGTTCGCTCACCAAGATTTTCAACACTTATCTGATGAAGTATTCTAACTCCTGAATTAATGTTCATGTCTTAATTTTTTTGTTTTCAATTTTTTTTATCTTTAAGATAAAATGATTTATATTGTAGGATACATATTTCTATACATACTTCCGAAAAACGCTTGCGGAAATATTTAGGTCACACAAACAATAATATTTTTTAAGATCATTTCAAATATTTTAAACACCCATCATTTAAAATTAAATCCTAAATATTAAGAACTACCAAAATTTTTTAATTAAATCATATTTTTCAACTAATACACAACCATTAAAAAAAATTGATCGTAAGCTAACCACTTTTTATTATCGTTAAAAAATGATATACTGAAAAATTGTGTGTATAAATTTAAATTTTCGATACATATAGAAAATATAAAAAGGTAAAAATAGAAACAATAGCTAAATTNGGTGATTTGTTTTGCAATTAATTTTTATGATGAAAATCCACGTGTACATGCCACGTTAGCAAAATGTACCCGATTTAAGCTTGATGTCTGGAATTGTAGCGTTATAGCTACAGTGTTGCGACAGAAGTGGCGCAACACTATTCATTTATCTCCTCTATGAAGACTTTTCGCCAATTTACCGCAAATACAAAGAAATAGTGTGGTGTTGGAGGGGCTCTAAGAGCTTGTTTGGATATAAATTTTTTCAAAAAAATCTAATCATTTTTAACCAATCACTTTTTTTTAACTCAAATTTAACTCAATTTTAACAAAACTCTGTTATTCTCAATATTATCAATACAATTAAATAATATCACTCAATCATTCTTACACATGACATCAACTTTGATTCTCGATTCATAACAACAACAACAAACAAACAACAACATACCCAGTATATTCCCAACAGGTTGGGGTCTGGGGGGTCAGTTGTACGCAGACCTTACCCTTGTAATTATACAAGGAGGTTGTTTCCGTAGCGACTCAAGGTGCATTGCGCCGTTTGATATATTTTTTTTTTCTAGAAACTTCACTAATAGAAGAAGCACTAGAATTTAATTGAGTCATTTGATCTTGTCCATTATTAGCACTATGCCAGGAGAATTGTCAACAATGACTCTTCCAGCTCCATTTGCAATGGACAGGTAATTCTCGATTCATCAATTCACATAATTTAACTAATCATCACTTCATATCAGCTATCTCCTATTTTTACATTAAATCAACTTTAATTATTTTATTTCAAATATTATTTTAATATAAACTCAAAATCTCACTAACAACTAACCATACAGGTCTCTCTCTCTCTCTCTCTCTCATTCCCATCCCCATCTGCCGAAAATAGAGAAAAATATAAAAAAAATGGCACCCACCCCTCTTCTTGCCTGGGCACCGTCTTGCAGCTGCGCGCTTCCAGCCTCGGGCCGAACCGATGGTGTCGGCCGTGCCTTCCGCTCGTCAGATCCGGGTCTAACTGGACCCCCAATTGGTGAAGGCGTCGGCTCCTACGACGAAGCTTGTCAGGTCAACTCCCAAGCCGTCCGTTTACCTCTAGGTTGAAGATTATGGGAGCTCAGATCTAGGTTGAGACTTGAGGGGAGCTCAGATATGGGTTGAGTCTTCTCGCCAGATGTGACTAGCCACTTGAGTAAGTCGGAGTTTTTAGTTCTGGGACTTAGATCTGCAATTCTCTTTTGTTTTTGATTGTAGTGTTTGGCTCGTTGCGTGATTCAGCTAGTGGGTTGGCTAGTGTGGTTATAGTAGTGTGTTCGCAAGTTGCAGGGGAGGCTATAATCTATTGTTAGTTTAGGTTTGTGTTGTTTTATGGTGTGTTTGGGTTGTGAGAATGTTATTCTCCATTGTTGGAGTTTTCAGTCTCCACTAGTGGGTGTTTTTAGTTTTCTGTCTTAATTTAGTATCTTAGTTTGAGTTTGCGGCTCTAGGATGCCTGAGAACAGTAGTACTCCGTTGGGGGTAATTTCGGCTAGTTCAATTTAGTAGTTGTTTGATTCAGCTATTTGGTAGACATGGCCACGTGCCGACCCGGACCGGACCGAACCGAACCGGCCACATAAGGGCCGGTTCATCTAACTGGACCGCCAGGGCCGCAGTTCGGTCCTGGTTGGCTTATATATTTTTTTTTTGTCCCAGCGGTTCGGTCCGGGTCGAGGGCTGGAAGCCGAGCCACAGTCATTTATTTTTATTTTATTTTACTTTGACCCGTGGCCGGAGAACCGGCGGAACCGGGCCAATCCGATGACCCGACCCTAAGCAATCTGCGGTTCGATCCCGGGCCAAGCTTTTGGGACCTGCCGGCCCGGGCTGGGCCCGGACCCGTTGACTGGTCATGTCTAGCTGTTTGGTTGTCCTAATATATAAATATTAGTGTTTTATTAATTATAATCTAT